ATTCTGACTGATTGGTCCTTGCTCTATTTGCTCTTAAAATTTTTAAATATCTCACTTGGTTAAGACAGCCTTCTATGTGTTGTATGGTAGTAGTAAGTAGAGTGAGCAAGGTTTTAGGAGTGGAAGTCTCTAGGCTCAGGTGTGCAAACCAGAAGTGTCAGACACAGAGGACATGAGTGAACCTTCATGAGAGCAGAGATCGTATTTTGACCACTGCTACATTCCAAATACCTGGAATGTTTGTGGAATAAATGAGTGGAATGAGGCTGGTGCTGTCAGGTGCCTCTCTTTCTCCTTTTGCTCATCTTTCTTGGTTACATCTTTTGGTCAGTGCATTGACCATTTTACCTGCCATAATCTTATGGGTTTAAAGCCTAAAGACAGAATCTTTATTATATCAGGAAAGAGAAAGAGAGAGAGAAAGAGTATAAGAATAAATGTGAGCTGAATCACATTAAAATCAAAGATGAAAAACTAATCACATAATTTTACCATAGAATATTCTAACAGATTCATCAACAACTGAAATAAATGACTAGCTTTGTTATTTTATCATGACCTGTTAAAACAACATAATCGATGATCTACTTGACTAGTTTTGCTCTCACCTCTGCTCCCGTTAAATGAGGACTTCAATAAGTATTCAGAGAAATCGCTTACAGTAAACTCAACCTTTATTTTTAATAAACGAAAGGGTGAATAAGCCTAAACATGAAATGGACCATGAGAATCATCTGCCAGACAACTGAAAAGAAACAAAGCATTCTTAAATATGGCTTGAGATTTCAATCATTTCATCACTAGACTGATTTTAGAGAGACAGTAATTCTCAAAATCCAGTTCATCAATTTTTTGTTTAGTTTTGGGGTGGTTGTTGTGTGTTTACTGTTTAGAAACCACAGCTTAAAAGCAACTCATATGGTAATGCTCTAAATGACCAAAATTAAATTTTATAATCAAAGCACTCAGAAATGAGTTATTAAAACGAATTTTATTATTCTTTCTCTGGGTTCATATTTGTTTTTGTGGATTTTTTTCTGAAAACTATATAAACCTTTGCTCAGCTGGAACTTTTTAGCAAACAATTTTATTTAAAAAGTAACAACACATGAACTTGATTGTGTTTAGCTTCTGTTCCAGGTAAAAAGTCACGCTATGAAAAGATAACACACTGTTCTCAGGGAAAAGAAAAAGTCAAGCTATAAAATATCTGTAATATGTATTAATATGTTTTAAAAATATCTAAAAATGCCGGGCGCGGTGGCTCAAGCCTGTAATCCCAGCACTCTGGGAGGCCGAGGCGGGTGGATCACGAGGTCAAGAGATCGAGACCATCCTGGTCAACATGGTGAAACCCCGTCTCTACTAAAAATACAAAAAATTAGCTGGGCATGGTGGCGCGTGCCTGTAATCCCAGCTACTCAGGAGGCTGAGGCAGGAGAATTGCCTGAACCCAGGAGGCGGAGGTTGCGGTGAGCCGAGATCGCGCCATTGCACTCCAGCCTGGGTAACAAAAGTGAAACTCCGTCCCC